AACTGAGTCGTGGAGTTGGGTGAGGACAAGGGGCTTACCAGCCTGGACTTGAAAGCCTGAAGTCGCGATTCTTCGGGCCAGGCACCCATGGCTGTTCCCAGAGCTTGGGCTGCGGAGGTTCTGGATCTGATCATGACATCTGCTCCAATGAGTTCCAGATCTCCAGTAATCATGTGTCCGTCGACGTTGTGAGATTGAGTGGATGGTGCTGGTATTGCCATGTCGTCTTTTCCTGGGCGGGACTTCTTTCTTCTCTTTTGAGCTGGTTCGGCGCCATCGGGCGGTGTCGATTTCCGGCTCGTCTCGGTATTCGGTGGTGGTCCCATGGCTTGTCCTGAAGGTTTGATGAGAAGCGACTTGTCCAGGGAAATGGGATGGCGAGAGACTCCGATGGGTGTAAGGGTGAGGGGAACAATGGCGTCCAATACGGGCTCCAGGTGGTTGGGTAATTGACTACCCAAGCTTGCAACCACGGCATTCCAAAGCTGCATTGAAAGCTTCAGAACACCTTCATTGCGCTCGAGCAAGATGTTCTGGAATATCAATTGCAACGCCTTGCTGTCTATCCAACCATCGGAGTCCTGGCTTTGAATATTGAGGAATGTGATTAGCGCACGCAACACAGCCGCACGAACACTGGTAATGGTATGTCGTAGGAAGGGGAAGAGGCGAGGGACGAGCTCATGGAATGACTGGCTTGGGTCTTGGCGAGCGTTTGCTTGCATTGCCTCGAGCACTTGAGGGAAACCGCAGAGCTTAGCCAGCAAGTCCATGATGAAACCGGTACTAGCACTAAGATCATCCTGCAAGCTGGAGAGACATGACCAGACGACATTCATCAATCCTTCGAGTGCCTTGGGCCGCATCTCGATGAATTCCTTTACGACGGGAATTAGCGTTGCGGCACTAATGGCTCGAACATCATCATCGTCATTACTCAAGCCATTGATGACTGCAGCGAGCACACCATCCATCAGAGTACCATCTTGAAGGAGCAGATCGTTTCGCACAGCGACAAGGTATCGCAAACCAATCATACCACCCTGACAAAGGGCCCAGGGTGCACTGAGAGGGTTGGTGTCAACAGGCAAGTCCTGATTCATGATTAGGCGATTGAGGACTCTGAAGGTTGCCAGCACATTGTCGCCAGTCATGTATTGCAGCAAGGAGCCGAGTGCTTGTCCTGCAGTTTCACGTATTGGTGCAATGACATTATCACCAGTGAAATCTGCAAAGCGATCGAGCATGAAGATGCAGATCATGCGGCACGCCAGGTCGTTGAGCCATTGTTGATTGAGCTGATCATTCTCGGCTCGAGAGAGCCCTTTCCGCCTTCCGGCGCCGGCGCCGTGCACACGGAGGATTTCTCGAAGACCCATGGCAGCCCCATGACGGACCTCCCAGGTGAAGTCAAAAAGTTCGACAGCAAGATACGAACACACACGTTCGAATGGCCATTCTAGCCCAGCCTCCTCAGCCTCGGCCTGAAACGACGACTTTTCGGGTACGGGCGCGCCCTTGAACTCCTTGACAAACTTGGCGTCATCATCGCCGCCGTTGCGCTCGAGCGAAAAGTAGTCATTTACACCACTGTCGCCTTCGTCGCCGTTCTCGTTCTTCTCAAGCTTAAGGGCAATTGGATGTGGGCGACTGGGGGTTTCTACTGTTTCTGATTGTGAATCTTTGCGTGAGTTTGCGTTAAAATCAACGATTTGGACCTTGTTAGCACCTCCCGCAGCGTTCTTTTTTTGCTTGCGTTTGAGGGCATTTTGTTGCCTTTTACTTAGTCCCTGGCCGTTGGGTGTTGCCAAGGCAGGAGGTGGAGAAGAGGCTAGATTTGAGCTGTCGGCACGTGGAACATTCGTATCGATGCGATTTGGTGCAGGTGTCTTGGGCCCCGGTGTTTGAGGCATGATTTCGTGGGGTGGTGATAGGTCCTCGGTCCATGGACCCTCAAAGCCAAGGCGCTTGAGGAGGGTGCTCTTCTGGTACTCCAAACGCTCGGCGGGGTCCATGGCAGCCAGCTTGTAGTCATGCTCCTTTGCACCAGAGGAAGCCAGGACTTTACCAAACTTGAGGATGGAGGGGAGGTCGAGGGTCGCTAGATCGAGTCCGTGGGAGAGAGGCGGCAAGGCAGCGTCGCCGTTTTCTTCCTTCTTGACGGCGCCATTGCTGTCTTCGGACTTGACATTGTGATTTGACTCGGACTTGACGCCGGGTTTGCTGGATTCATCGGCATCGTCATCGTCAGCATTGGGATCAAACTTGTCGGCGTTAGCGGCAATGCCGCCAATGGCCTTGGCGGCAGCGACTCGAGTCTCCCAGCTCTTTGAGCGCAGGTAAGGGATGACGCGGGTGAGGAGGTTGAATAGTTCATCGGGATGTTGTTTCTGGACGTCAGCAAGTTGGTCGGCTGCTGTGTTCCGGATCAATGCTGTGCTGCCCGTCTCGAGGAGCCTTGGCGTGGGTTAGCGAGCATGCGACAAGGGTGGGTCAGAGGGGACGAGAGGGGCAATGCCATGCTGGGGGGGGATGCATGGCACGGCATGGTGTGCGAGGGGCATGGCATGGCAGGTATTTTTGTTCTTTCTGGCGTGTCGGGATGCAGTGCAAAGCCATGTGCTGTGCTGGAGTCGGGTGCACTTACGTGACGAGACGGTCCAATCTGGTGGCACTATGGCAGGGTTAGCGCGACATGCATGCAGCAGCCGTGGGATATGCGACAAACCTCATCGTGACCAGCGGGTGGGTCTGGCTGCTATGGGCGGGCGGCCAAAGGGATTAGAAATTACTACTATGCGCCCGCAGGCGAGTGCCATCGAAGGCGCCCCAGGTGCACACGCAAACACAAAGGCACACACACAAGCCTCTGTGGCGGGGGGTGCTGTGGGCGCAGCACTGGAGTTGTCACGTGACGGGATGGTAACTCGATGCGGTGCCGCGAGCGCGTCGGAGAAGGTGGGCTGCGGGCCTATCTAAGAGAATGAACAGGTCATTAAGTAGGCTGGATCACCACCAGGAACGGGCTAGTGTGCGGGCCCGTGCGTCCCGTTTCAGGGAGTAGAGGAAATTTTTCGCGACCTCCAACGGCGCCGACGAGCGCGTCTTGCTCGCATGCGCTGCGAGACAAACTATCGCGACGCCCACGCTGCCTCTCTGCGCCGCGCTGTCGTCCTGTTGCGTGTGCTCGTGTCTCTGCCGCCGCCTTCTATCAGCCTGTCTGTGACAAGGTGGCCTCTGCGCCGCCCTAGCCCGGTTCCATCACCGCCCCAACGCGCCTGCCCTCGCCTCACCACCACCTTCCGCTTCTCTATCCACCATCCGCCCTTCACCACCCACTCTCCATCACCCCATCGTCCAGCACTCACACCCCAAACTCTGCCACACCCCCTCAACCCCTCAACCCTCGACACCCGCGCTGCTGACCTACTTGCCTCCTTCTCAAACTCCACCCAGTCATCCGTTCCAGCTCGGCGGGAGTCGCTGACAAGGCTCCCAGCCAGTAGTAAGCCCTGCATCGTCGCTGCTCACCACAGCAGCAGCAGCCTGCAAACGGCAAATCCCTATCTTTCTGCCTTGCTAGCCTCATCTCCATCCACACACCCACACACCCACAACATCTTTGCAAACGCAAAAAAAACATCCATCCTTCTTCATTTTTTTCCCATCACCATAGCTGCCGGATGCACCGGACGGGCCCCCCGCGTCGTGAGCGCGTCGCGCACACCCGATTACCTCTCGCTTGGCCAACTGATCTACGTGCGCCGCTGCACCTAGCGCATACTTGCATCGATATACCGACCAACCTCTTATTCCATCCTTTGTCTCTGCCTTGCCCTGCTTTTATTTTGTCGACTTTTCCTGCGTCCTTTGCCATGCCCATTGCTGCCAAAGCCCTCTCTGTCCCATGGGCCAAAACGTCCCATTGTCTTTCCCCGCAAACCGTTCTGCAAAGGAGTGTGTCTGTGAGCTCAATTTCCCAGCGCTGGGTTCAACATGCAGGTCAACGCCCTCCGTGCCAGGCAATTTGGTTCATCGTATCATTGGTAATCGGGTCCGTGTTGGGGCTGCAGACAGCGGTCCGCTATGCGTCCGTGCCGGGTATAGATGGTCGCCAAGGCTGATATTGCGAGCATCCGTGTCTTGCGTCTTGCATCTGCCCTTTCCCAAACAACAGCTTGATTAACAACGCGCCACGCTTTATTGACCACAGATACCCTTGAGCACGCAGGATTCCCCCTTAATAAAAAAACACACTGTGTCAGCAACATGACTCTACCCGTGTATACCTACATACTTATATATATATAAACTTGGTGATTGCTGACTAGTCAGGCGTCCCGATGCATAACACAACGACACGCATCGCTATCGGAGCTTTTCCGGTGTTGTCATGCACCGTCCACCCTTTCGTAATCCGCGCTCAACTAATAATGGATCCAGATGCACTGGCTTCCGATACTTTTGTGTACACGTGCTCATTCCTGCTAAGGGGGGCAAAGGAAGCAAGTTTCCTTCTAGAAAACTTGATTTCCATGCGCGCCAAGCACAGGCAAGCATCACTACTGTATATCTTGTTTTCTAATACACGGCAAGCAGCCCTTTTGTGGCCCGCCTAGCGTCACTATACGTATCATTATCATCCACATGCCTATTTCCGTTGTCATTAGCCTCGGTAGCTTCTTACGCTACTACCCAGTACCGCGGTGCAACAAACTACCATCTGCATATCCATTTGCCTATCAGCGGTACATACAATACCCGAGGTGAAAAAAAGATTCAATCCCCGAAAAAAAGGGACATTCTCTCCCAAGAAAAAACGCAGTCAAGCGCCCCCCATCCATCCAAAAGCTAGTACTCTATCAAATACTCGCGCGACGTGTACCCATGGGAATCCCCCAGAGTGCGCGTTGGCGCCTCAACTCGCGTACTTGTGTTCTCCATCTATTCCACACTACACTTAGAACGTCTCCAAGTGGCACCCGACTTGTGTGGATGTACTACTCCCCACGCATTAGTGCGCGGTATTCCTCAAGCTGCATAAGCGTGACTTCGATTTCACTGTTTAATCTTTTAGTATATACTGCCCGGATATGTGTCAAGAAACAAGAGGCTACTTTACCCCAGATCAGGATTCTCAAGATTGACCAAGTTCTGCAAGCGGATTTCTGCTGCAGCCGCGAGAGTCGTAAGGCTATTTAGCGTACGCCGGTCTTCTCCCCTTCGCGGCCCTGCCATCTGTCGCTCTATCATTCGTTGCTCGTCATGGCTACTGTAGAAGTGGATGTAAAGCGAGCGACCTTCTGCGCTATGTAGCGATAGCGTCGTCGCAATAGCGTTGCGTCTGCCTCCTCCTCCTCCTCCTCCTCCTCCTCCTCCTCCTCCCCCTACTACCACTACTGGCCCTGGTGTCCTGGGTGAACACTGATATCTAATTTCGTTGGTTCCGACATCCTGCTTCCAATACAGCACGTCGACGTGTGGACCCCGCATGTCGGACTCCTGGTCTGCAACGTATAAGTTCATGTATCCGCGCTTGACCTTGGCATAGGTATTGAAGTCTTTGGAGCGCAGGTAGTAGCATAGACGCAGTGCTTCTTGCGCTGTTGGCTTGAAATTCGATGGCGAGATCATTTGCGTCCACTCGCATGCTTGATGCCCGCTGAGCGTGTCTGATGGGTAGCATTCTAGGTATCTCAGAGCCTGGAGCTGGACTCGGACGTATTCGAGTGTTCTCTCGCTACCTTCCGTCTCTTCGGCTTCATTGTATATGGTCCTGTCTAGCACAGGCATGATTGTGGTAATAGGCCGGATTGGTCTCGGTTGCGTTGGTGTGGAAGGGGTAACGGTGGGAGCATCGTTGCCGTATAATAGATGTTCCAGGTTATTCGTGTTGCTGTTGGTCGGATTCATCTTTGAGCGTCTGTTTTATGTGGTCGTAGAATGCAGTGGGAAGTCGGTGATAAGTAAGATACGGCGCGATGTCTCTGAGTGGGACTCTGAAAAGGTGAGAATGCTGGGATACTCGTCAGTCAAGCCGATGCGCGATTGCAGACCTACTTGTCCGCACGAGATATTTGCTCAATCTGGAAAACGATCGATCCTGTTCGACAGTGAAAGAATATATGGATTTCGAATGATGCTATAACTCGCCGCGCAAAATCGAGCGAGTAAAATTGAATACATGCCACGGTGGAAGTTTTGATGGGATACTGAGAACCTGGGAGAAGGTGAGCAAGGCAAGAAGGTCTGACCAGCTTTTCTCACCACGCGACTGCCCTTTTTGGGCCGAACCCCTCCACGTATAGCTATTCACTCTTTCTTCAAGCTGACGTGAGGGTGAAAGTGATTGCTTAGCCTGACTTGAGTGGTACTTTGCCCTTTGCAAAGTGGGTGGGTCGCCTTTAGTGCCAATCATGATGTGGACTTTGCCAATCACAGGGTTTTACATAGAATAAAACGCTGTCTAAACCATAGGAGAGCCTGTTCGCACTCTTAGATAAACATGGCTCTGATATCGCGTTAAAACGCGATGAAAGATGGTTAGGTAAGGCGTATACCGGAACTTATTGTATCAGCCTAGAGACTTTCTTAGTAGCATTCGAGGAGTGTTATGCAGTATTTCTGTAAGGAAAAAAAGCACAGAATTCATCGAAAGTAAGTTCTACAAGGAAAGAAACCGCTTTCTCTGACTTGACGACCAGAAACTTGCGTCCTTGCTTGTCTGATGACACAAGGTTGACAGCATTTGTAAACGTATGATATCTTCGTCTACATCAATAATGCTAATTTCTCTTTGTTCAACGACGCTACGTGGTTTTAATGTTTAGAGGCATATAGTCCGTCTAGAAACACCTCAAAAGGTAATCTAGCAGTTTCATTTCTGCTAGTGTGATCGATAATGTGTTATTGGTATGCTTATTTAGTTAGCGGTTTGTAAGCCCTTCGAAGTGACATAGGTGTGCTTCTAGAAGCATTACTACCAGACTTGCTTTTGCTAATAGTGATGAGCTAAGATGCGTTGCTGAGTGGAGAAGATGTATGCTCGCCACATTTAAGATACAATGGCTTCATGACAAGTAAGATGATACCTTTTTTCATACATCGTCCTTGGTTATGTTTCTGAAAGGAATTCAGAGACGTGATTTATTCTTGATGTACTTAACCATTTCTTTTGTATTGTATGATTCAAAATCCTGTGTCTAATGATTTCAATTATCAAAGCAAAGACAGCTACTCCTATGTCCATACAACTACCTCATCGACAATGAACTCTTCAAGTCTTTGCAGTATATCTTATTCTCTTGCATACAACACAATGCTCTACATCCTACAAAGGCCCCTTTCCCGTTCCATAAAGTATTCTACACTAACTCCTGAAAAGGAGTAAAGTTCCCAGCACCCCCAGAGGTACTGTCAATGCTAGACTACAAACCAATAATCACTATCCTCCTGTAACCCCTTATACCCACATCTTTACAGCCCCACACGTGACGTTACAGCCCATTTTCTGAAACAGACTACACTAGTCTACATCCACCAAAGATCACCATACGCATGCACACGCCTCCTTCCACATCTGCCGTAAAAAAAAAGGAAAAGGAAAGCTAATGACTTGCATCTCACCCTGAACCAAACAACTTGACAGCGGGCAGCATGCGGCAAGTTACTCGAAGGCCTTGGCGCCATCGTGGAGGGATGGCGGTGGCGAAAGAGAGAAAAAAAGGGTCAACAGGCCGAGGTGCGGCGACAACAAGCAAATACAGCCCCTCCCCTCCCTCACCTCGTGTCCGGAGAAAGATAGACCAGGACGATCACAAAGGGACTTTTGCCCGTTTGCCACAGACGGGTGTGCCTGTCCATCACTTCAGGGACTGCGGGCGGGAAGAAGCAATATGATGCCACTGCTGTTTGCAAGACTCGTGAGGCTGAAGAGGGGGGGGGATGTCAGGTACCACGGGGTCTAGAATTGGGGAAGAGGGTGTAAAAGGCTATGACGTATGCACAACCCATGATCTTGATTTCCAACTCTCTTTCCCTCTTCTTTCACCACGTCTACTTTCTCTCCTATATTGCATTCTAGCCCTATTGGCTGGAATGTCTAAGTTTTTTTTCGCCTTTCTAATGTCGGTGAGGGATTAGCTTGGTGAGGTGTAGTTGGTTGGTGCCCACCCGAACCACAACCCCTCCTCTGCAACCCCCCACACGTGTCCAAGCAATGCCCGCACCCGTTTCAACACCATGCATGCGCAAAACGCGCATAGTGTGCGTATCGGATACGCATAACCAGACACCCAAGCTGCCTCGAGGTGACGTGCTCATTCACGCCGGCGACTTGACAAATCAAGGGAGCTATAGCGAATTGAAAAAAGCTGTGGAATGGGTAGAGAAGCAAGATTTTGAAGCAAAAATTGTGGTTGCCGGTAATTTACAAATTCCTATCTGGATTGAAATGGTTGGTGGGGCTGATGAGTTTTTTTCTCTTGTTCCTTCCTGAGCAGGCAATCACGAAATCACGCTCGATGCACCGTTTTTCAACAAAAACAAGGGCTTGTGGAAATGGCCTGGCGACCAAGACCCCACGGCGTGCAAAAAATTGTTGGTCGAGTCAAAGTCGATTACGTACCTTGAGCATACCACTACTACGGTCAAGCTTACCTCACCAAACGGACCGGGAACACGGTTCACGGTATTCGGTAGTCCGTATACGCCCCAGCAAGCGAATTGGGCCTTCCAATACCGAGTAGAGGAGGCTGAAGATCTATGGAATAAGATTCCAGAGGGGGTAGACATTGTCGTGACTCATACACCGCCAAAAGGCCATTGCGATAGATCGGCAGAGGCTTCAAGAGACGGCAGAGAAGGGTGCCCAGCTTTGTTACGAAGATTGTCGAAGATCCGCCCCAAGTTGAGCATCTGCGGCCATATCCATAGAGGACGAGGTGTCGAGACAGTACGGTGGAGGACTCAGCCCTTGGACCAAGCCACGCAGAGCGATAGTGGTAGCCTAGTGCAAAGCGTAGAATTCTGGAGCGATCCAGGAAGAACTAGTAACAAATTGTCCTTAGTTGACTTGACCATCAAGTCAAGAGCAGGGCGCGACTTGGGCTGCGATACAGGGCTGCCACGTCAAGGTATGCCTGACTCGATGCAAGAGGGTACTGTGAGAAGCCAGGCTGCTGCATCTCCTGCGCCGGATGTTACATGGCGTCAGCCCCCATCCGGTGATGGGAACCTTGTCCCGACGTCAAGCCTCACTGGTATTGCCCTTGAGAATAATGAGGCGTGGTGGAGAGGAGAGAACCATAGTAAAAATTTGAGGAATGCAGGACATGCATGTCTCAATGATGGATGCAGGACGGGTCGGGCTTTTGGGGGTGCAGAGACGGCGCGTATTGCAACGACGACAGTGGTCAACGCAGCATACCTGGGCCCAAGGATTGCTGGAAAGCCTACCGGGCACCATAAGCCGATCGTTGTCGATGTTCAAGTGCCCGTATGGAAGTTGCCAGACGAGGAGTGAATGAGGTGGCTGATGTGGGATGACATGTGCAGTGCAGCGTACCTGTCGGACATGATATCATTTCTGGTGGCCAGCACCTGTTCTCTCGTGTGCACAAGACATGTTCGTCGCCAGTTGTGCTGCGCAATAGTGGAGGACCACGTAGAGGGACCTGCTTCGCCAGGAGCCCGTGGGTAGGATATGTCATTATTGGGCGTGACACGCAGAAGAGCCCCGCCTCACCCCGCATAGGCGTATCTTATCGTCCAACCACGCCAGGGCCTAACATGTGCCAATTCGGGACGGATCGAGTGGGAACAAATCTCACATGGGACAAAAAATCGTCAGCCTGGCGACGCAAGCGCCGTGCCCTGACCCGAGTTTTGACGGCCCACCGGGGGGCCCCCTCCACGAGCCAGCTGCGATGCGGAGGATGCGCAGCGCAGCGCAGTCATGCCATGCCATGGTGCCCTAGGGCGACCAAGACCTGGTGACGGGTGGTTGAGCGTTCGGCATCAGGCTGTCTCAGAGGGCTGGTCAGGCCGAAGACAGGTCTGGTTGGGTGTTGGGCGTGACGGGGAGCCGGCCGTGTGCCTTCGGTTGCAGAGTGCTCCATCTGTGACCAGGACGGCGGCGTGGATTCGCTGTGTGTTGCAAAGTGTCTTCAGCGGGGATGCTGACCGTTCTGGGTCGCTTTCTGGGCCTCGCAAGTCATGCCGGCTGAGGGGAATACTCCTATCAGATGCAATGGAGCCCCAAGTCTCAAACGACCATGTGGCCGCTGGTAGGCGTGATTGGACTGGATGTTTCGTAGGCGCCGTGACCGATGCGACGTGCAGCATGCTCATGTGAAGCGGCGGCGGCGGCTTGCGCGATGCGATGGCATGGCCCCACGGAAGGGCCTGGTCTAGGTGTAGGAGAAGGCGGACGGAAGCCGAAAGCACGCGGTGCCGTGACAGCCTTCAGCCCTGAGTAGAGGACCACTACCACCCGTGCGAAGTTGGGTAAGCCAGTCATGCTTGCGCGAGGCAATACACACCAGCCGCAGCATCGCCAGGGGGGGCTCCTAGAGCCGGCCTACTCATCAATCCTGGCGCAGCGTTATAGTAAACCGCAACGCCCCAGCTGCTTGCGGGCTGGCTGACTGATTTGACCATACTGCTGTCCGTCTGTCCGCATCCTCCCTCGACTGCCCTGTTTTTTTTTGGTGACTCTCCCCTTCTTCCTCGCCATCATCACCCACGACGGCGTGCGATCGATGCCAACCATTGCCCGCCGCATTTTATTGGCATAGTAGCATATTGGCGTCGCTGAAACGGTGACGTCGCAGCATCCACACCGCATATTCCGCACCCGTAGAGCAGCGCTGCCGGGCATCCTCAAGGCAGCTAATCGAACGCATTGTTGCGGCGCAAAGAGAGGAAAAAGTAAAAGAAAACAAGACAACACAGCCTCACTACTGGCGTCCTAAGCACACACACTTTCTTTGTCAGGCTTGTTTAATCCGCCTTTTTTTCGCCATCACTACGACCTTCTGCGGTCTTCGATGCGAGCGTCTGTGTTCGCGGCTCGGTCCACTCTTCCTTAGGTCAGCGAAAGTAACCTGGCCCAGCCATCCTCGTCATCCCCCCTTGCCCAGACACGTTCGCCGTCCGCTGTCCGCTGTCCGTCTTCCGCTCTCACCACCCAAGCACCACGCACCACGCAACACATACCCGACTCTCCTTAAAGCCCTTCGCCACCAAGCGCCTTCCGGGCCTCTCTCTCGCTACCTATCCCCTAAATTGTGGCGCTGCCTATCTGCGTATACATACCAGCCACGCCGTCCATCCCATCCATCCCAGCTCCGCCACAGGCATTGGCTGCATTGACTTTTTCCCCGTGCCTGTGCCAGCCCAACAGTTGCCCTACCGCTTCGACGGGCTCTCTATAAAGTATACGCGAAGCCCCACCGCGCAATCGATTAGCACTATTCCCCCCTCCAACCCCCCCGCCTCCCATTTACACACACACAAACCACCATGGACTTGGATCCCACGCCCGACCACTACAAGGCCCTCGGCCTCGACAGGAGTGCCACCGCCGCGATCATCAAGTCCACATACCGCAAACTGGTACTCAAGTGCCATCCCGATAAAGTCACAGACCCCGCATTGAAGGAGCAGAAGCAGGAGGAGTTTCACCGCATCCAGCAAGCCTACGAATGTCTCATCGACGACGAAAAGCGGGCTCACTACCACGCAGTCCTCGAGCTTGAGAAGCTGCGCAAGGAAAAGGCCGCAAGACAAGCCGCTGCGCCACGCGACAGGACTGCGCGCTTCGACGTCCCAACACCTGGTGGTTCGTCTTTTACCGCAAATGGTCCCACGCGATACGCCACCGAGTACCGCGCACCTCAATCGTCGCGTGACGATGCCAGCCGTTATCAGGAGCGTGAGCGTGAGCGTGAACGCTCCCACCACCAAGCTTACACACCTAAGCCTACTGCGCCACCCCGATCCAGCCGTGAAAAAGAGTCTTCAAAAAGCAGCAGATATGCCAAGGAAGACCGTGGTCGATCAGAACGTGAAAAGCCACGTGCCAAGGAGGTCCGCAGCGACCGCAAATTCGCATCTGCTGAGAGTGAATCATCAGCCGATGAGAAGGCGCGCCACGAATCGGGATACAAGATTCGCACTGAAGAAGATGCTCGTCGCAAGGCTGCTGAAGAGCGCCGATCCTACGAAGAGGCACGCCACACCACTCTTCCCACTCACCGTAAGATGAGCGTACAGGCTGAGGAGGCACTTCGCTACCAGCACAAGTCGCGCGCGCAGGTTGAAGAGGAGATAACGTCATCTCGCCCTATGCCTGCTAGAGCATCCTCGCGCGATTACTATGCCGCCGAGCCCCGCTCTTCCCGCCGCGAGTCTTCTCGCGCTGAGGCTCCCGTACGTAGGTCTTCTGCCAGGCCCAACAAGGACCGCCCTTCAATGTCGCGTCGCGAAACCGATCGAACCGATCGCGGTATTCCCGAGGTCGTAGATTGGGCTGAGGAGAGGCGCACTGAAGAGAGGCGCCCTCCTATGTTCAAGCACTCGACATCGTCACCCATTGAGCTTGGACGTGGAATCCCGCAGCGTTCCTACACCGAACGACTACCACGACGTACTGAGACTTCACCGCCCCCGGCACCACCGGCTTTCCACCGCTCATCGACGATGCCCCACCCATCGTCCTCGCGCAGGAAGGAGTCCGCTGCGCCTCGATCTTCTGGTCTACGCGAAACCACTACTTCTGAGCAATACGTCAACCCCGAAAGAGATGCCTTCCCTACCATCCCACCGGTACAGCAGACTACGCCCAGCAGCACCAAGAAGGTTTACTATTACCCGGTCAGTGGAGGTGGTGTCTCTGTCCGCCCGGAAGAAATTCCAACCGCCGCTCGTCACGTGCCGCGCGAACCATCACGCTACCAACGGTCGCCATCGCCATCGCCAATCGGCAAACCCCCGATTGGCGCTAACCGTCCGGTAGAGCCCACCACTTCCTACAAGACGGCGCCGCGCCCATCCATGCCGAGCCGCAACGAGTCGTACCGTACAGTGTCGCCCGTTCGTGGCTCCGAAGATCGCGGACGTTCTGGAAGACCCAAGCTCTACGGAGAAATTGGACGCCAGCCTAGCTTCGACCCCAACGATGTGCAGTTCAGTCGCCGATATGGCCCAGAAGACGTCAGATGGGCGCCCAGATCCGGCGAGCCTGACAAAGGATACTCTACTAAGCCTTCTTTGGGCAGAACTGCAACATATGTCTACTAGGCATTCATTGTCAATGAGTGAGAGAATGACTTTTTACCTCATTAACATTATACATGGGCAAAATTCATTATGCCTCAGGATACCCTACCCACCATGAAACCCGGGTATATCATTTCCCGGGTTCTTTTTTGCATTTTATCGGTTTTGTTTTTTCCTCTGGCGTTTTCTTAAGGCTGGGTCGCGGAGTTGTTTTCTAAGGCAACTCGCAGTGCGTAACTTTGCTTTTTTTTGTTGACGACACCACGCAAGTGCTGCGTTGGGTCCCAAGTCTTCTCTCCATCCCCGCCTCCCTTACCCCAAGGTGTATATTTCTCGTGCTTTTATGCTTATTTTTCGATTCCTGTCTTATTTCCACCCACCTTCGTTCCAATTGCTTTTTTGATCTTCTTCTTCTTCTTCTTTCTTCAACCGATTGCCGGTTGCTCGATGCGGCCCAAGAGAAAGTCAACTAGTTTGACTTTCTTTTTTTTCCTTATAGACGCGAGTTTTACTCTTTCTCACACTCGCTTTTTTTGTTTTTCCACAAATACCGGGGGTAAGGGAGAGTGTGCGCGCGGGACATAAGCATATTATGTCTACACTCTCGCTTTTTTTTCCAACAAGAGGCGCTCATGTTAACGTGCACGAGTTCCAACGAAAATTTCGCCTGTCGTTTCTGCACGTTTTTATGTGTCTTGCTTTTTTTCGGGGAGCATTTACAAACCAACTACTATATAAATTATTATTATTACGGCCAAATTCTGTTCTTTCATCCCATCTTTTTTTTTTACACAATTGTAGTCTCGCGACGATGCCAAAGGGATGGGGGAAACCAACGTACGTAGTTTTTTGCCAGAATAGAATTGTCATCACGCCTTGTGTTTTTTTCTCTCTAAATCATGTGCTTATGTTCTTGACTTCGAAGTGACTAAAAGGAACGAAGGAAGAAAAAAATCAATTGCTGACCTCACGTGTTGTTGCTGTTGTTGTTGTTGCTGTTGTTGTTGTTGCTGTTGTTGTTGTTGCTGTTGTTGTTGTTGCTGTTGTTGTTGTTGCTGTCGTCGTCTTCCAGCTTGATGACGTTCATTATTATGCATCAGCCAACTCTAATCTCCTCAGCTGACCAACATAACACCAAGGTAATAAATATAGCTTGGTAACTAGAACACCCATTTACAACACATGTACTCCACATAATCACGTAATCATCAAGTTTCTTCACGGTGCAAAACTCGTACATGTAATGTAAAAATGTAATATGTGATTTCCACTCATGTATACAGCCCCTCCAGTCCCCCAGCCCCAACCCCAACCCCCTTCTTCAATTGCCACCTTCCCGCCTTTCCCCGCTTCCCCTCCCCCCACAAAAGAAGAAGAAGAAGAAGAAGAAGAAGAAGAAGAAGAAGAAGAAGAAGAAGGAAAAACAAAGAAAAGAAAAGAAAAAGAGCCGGGTAAGTTACTACCTTGACCTCGCCTGGGTATAGAGAATCCATAGACAACACATAGCGAGAGAAAGAGGACGAGGAGGGGTGGGCAAATAAAGTAAGGCCAGGAAAAAAAAGGAAAAAATCCCCTTAAATAAAGTTATCCAGATACACAATCACACACACACGCACACACGCACACACACCTACACTGAAACTAGACTCGATTGGGTCTTTTCACCCAGATCGAGCTCTCCATTTCCCTTACTTCCACCTAAAAGAAAAGCCCCCTCCTTATCCCGCGAGAATTTCCCCCCCCCCAAAAAGGACACAAGAAAAACGCCTGCTGCTGGCTGATGGAGGATGTGAGCCAAGCAGATTCACAAAAAAAACAGTGATAGTAGACAAGAAAACACAAAGGAAAAAACAACCAAGGATACAAACCCCCAAACAATGTGGGGTAATGTACTTTCCGCTGGATTGGGGTGTGCAGCGCTTTGGCATGGCTCGTAACATCGATACTGAGAGGGGGATCAAACCAATAAAAGAGAAAAGAAAGGGAGAAAGAAGAAAAAAAGGTATGACGTAGATATACAAAGCAGCGAGAGTTGTAGTGATGAATGGCTGGTTTGAACAAGAGAGATAGAGGAAAGAGGAGGGGATAGAGCTTTGACAAAAAACAAATGAGTGGAAGGCCGTGGAGGGTTGGCGGAACTAGGCACTAGAAACTAGGACATTACACTTTTTGTTTGGCGTAACTCAACGCGCATTAGTCCTCCACAAGGCACAAGTAGTCAAAGCCGTCGAGGAAGACGAGCTTGTAAAAGAGAAACAGAGTCTTGACACAAAGAAAAGCTGACTGCCAAAAGAGGAAACAGGTCGGTACTGCCTTAGTGGTACTTGGCGCGGCCGCCGATTCATACAAAACGTCTTACAAACGTTGCTGAACTGCAATACGAGCTGATGCGATTTGAAACCATCCAAAGTTCAAACGCTCAATGTCGGTGGCGTCGCAATTTCCGAGAGAAGGAGAAATTCCTTTACGAGAAACTGCGAAATTTCTGGCCTGGTGGTCGGGGTAACTGAACCTTGATATCGGGTATACTCCCCGAACATCCGTAGCGAGTCATGGAACCGGAATTTCAATTTACGAATCCGGGCTTAGGCTCTCCAAATGGATCCGCTTTTGCTCATAGCACATCCCAAATGTTGCGGACAATTGGACTGACTCCAGTCTGTACGGGACTTCGAGGATCAGCAGTAGCCTTATCAGGTGTCCAGTGCCGCGGCATCGGGTCTTCCCATGCAGTATGGCCGTTTCGGCCATCCTTGATCGTGCCGTTTGATGAAACCGGGCTTGCATCCTCACCAGGGCTCTGCAGTTCAAAGCGGAAGGGGTTCCTGGTGAATTCTTCTGCACGGGGTGACATGAGGGCGTCAATGTCGTCTGCAGCATGCCGAGGAACCGCTGCCCTTGGCAGTTTCGACTGGATCTCGGTTTGCAGTTTCTGTAGTTTCCGTTGCTCACTCATGTTTGGGGATGAAAACCTTGTTCGAATGGCCTTTCCGGGAGTAGAGAGGAAGGTTTCGCTTGGGGTCCGCGGGGTGGCTGGTGCTTTAGGAAGCGCAAATGGGGTCGTTGTATGCGCACCACCGTGGTTTATAACTTGTTTCGCCGGTGAATTGCTGTGGCTGTCTACTCGAGGTCCGGCTAACTGGAATTGCTTCGATGTGGACATGTTCAGCGGAACCGGAGATCCGAAAATGGTATTCGTCTGTGCTGTGCCATCCAGGGATGCGAAGCCATTGAAAGTTTGATGTGCAGGCGGTAGGATGGCCTGGAACGAGGGTCTCCGGTCTTCCGATTCAAGGGCTTTGATAGTGGCAATACTGCTCGGCCTATCGAAAGGATTGAAATCCGCTCTAGTAGGTGAAGTCAAGCCAAAGGGATCCTCGTCTCCTAGCCTGGGCTTCAATGGAGTCATGTGGAACTCGGTAGCACGTGGTGACGTCAAATCTTCCTCCAAACGGTCGTTAGTTCTAGCAAAGATATCATCGGAGAATTTGGTCTTCACTGGCGAAGCGATTTCTGGAGATTTTGCGTCATCATTGTCATAGTGGTCCTGGAAAGGTGCCGGTTGACCAAGATGGAATGAAGTGCCGTGTGATGACAAGGGGCCATAAGATTCATTGGCATCGTCCTGCATAGCTTTAGACATGTCAAGCTTGGAGCTGCGTGGTGAAATTCCTGGGATTACGCCATCCATTGCCTGTGGAGCAGAATCAGGTTCCTCGTTGTCTAGATCGTAGCCCGCTGGCCAAGAATTGTCAAATGATGTTTTGATTGGAGACATGATGCCAGAGTCTGCTGTATCGTAGGACGGGAAAGTGGGTATGTTGAAACTTGCGACAGCAGGGGACCTCAAGGGTTCAAAGTTCGATGGTTGCATGGGAGCCAAAAGCCTTTCTTCAGTTCTAGATGAGGCGCCCTCGTCGATACCAAGGTTAGGTCGTAATCGAAGTTGACGGGAAAAGTTGGGAAATGAGGGGGGTTGGACATCGTCTGGTGACTGCGGTGTTGCTTCGCCGCTGGAGATATCTTCAGTATGTATGGTCGGCACATCATTGCTAGTCACCGAGACCATAGGGACGACTTGGCCCTTGGGATCGACGTATGGTGTGGTGGCCGGGGCCGGCTGGGATGTGAGCTCGAAATGCAATGGGCTAGAGTCCCATGACCTGCGGAAACCAGGCGAGAAAGCACCAGTGGGCGCAGACAGTGGACCTGGAGAGATTGCGATCATGTTTCCCGTGCTAGCACGTTGCATGGTCATGTCGCAGTCAGGAGGAAGCGGTGCCGTGCGCGGAGTACGCGATCCTGATCCACCGTCTCGATCGTACGAAGAGTACTTGTTCGATCCTGAAGGAAGACCAGCAGATCGTCGACCATAGCCTTGATTGTGATATGAGCGGCTCTCGTTCTGCCTCAGCAAGCTGTTGCGGAATTCTTGAAGCTGCATGATAAGGTTCATGTTGGGCCCAATCCACTTGCTTCGCTTCTTCGCCTTGTCGTATGCTTCTTGAACGCTCATTTGAGGATCTTTGTACAAGCCATAGGCGACAATCAAACTAGCAGAGCGACTGACACCACACTGACAATGAATGAGTACGCGTTTCCCTTGCTGCACCCGCTCGTCAATCATTCTCACGAGCTTGTGGAGGTCAGGGACAATGTCGGTGTTATGCTCCCATGGCATATGGATGTACTCTGGTGTTTTGTATGTCTTGCCATCGATGACAACCTCGCGTGGCTGTATCGTCTGCATTACTGGTGCCGTGGCTTTGGGTGTCGTTGGAGAGTTGTCACCCATGCCAAAGGATTGCTTTGGTCTCTGCGAAAGGGTAGCAAAGTCAATATTCTCCGCTGGTGGGCCATCCACGCGTCTGGCATCGATATCCTTTTGTGATTCTCCCGATGGTTCAGTAAAAGGATTTTTGACTTCACTTGCAACGTTGATAATGACATCGAAAGTCGTGGCCTGTACAGCTGTAGGCTCAAAGTAGAGGTATACACCGGCCTCATATATGCAGATGGGACCGTTGGGGTATGCTGCTGGCTTTTCCTCACGTGATTGGGGGACGTCAAAGTTCGGCTCTTGATCCTCCTCTTCCTCCATTTCAAAGGGAACTTCGGCAAGACCAGTTGGCTTATTCACAATAGGACGTGGAGGCAATTGCATGCCACCGAACGGGTTTACACTTGGTGAGCATAACGGCAAAGAAGGGGATGACTGGAAATGACGAAGGGCCGGGCGATTGAAGGATGGCGTTGAAGGTATGAGGAGTCGTACTGGCTTGTTGTCTGTGCTGCCGGGTGTCGATATCGTCAGGCTCAGATTGGATGGTCTTCGCTTGGGTGGTGTCGGCGGTTTGATGAACAGTGGTGATGGAGGTGCCGAACTATTCTTCTCCTTTGGCGCAACCGCAATAGGTGCTGGGGTGTGCGCTCGCAGGTTGCTTAGGGAAGACGCTGTGTTGATACCGAGGTTTTTGAGATTCCGTGGTTTCTTCGCAGGCGTTGTTGGGCGCTGTAGCTCGAAAAATGTACTTGAGTCTCCAGACGGCTGTTCTGTCCTTCTTGACCTGAAATCGGCGACACATGACGAAGGGGCGAGTGTTCTTCCAAGAGGCGACTCTGGTGACACGCCCGGGGATGGGTCGGTCACAGATGACGAATCCATGGTTGAAATGGTAGTCGTGGGAGAGTTGTCGGACGAGGTTGTCGAGTTGCTTTCCCGGCTTTCGGTGTGAATGTGAAACGAGGAGAAGGGCGCGCTCGAGGATGTGGTTGGGCTTGTTGCTGGGCGCACTAGATTAACGCCATTCCCGTCTGCATGGCCCTTGTTGTGGTGTTCTCCCCCGAATACAGCGCCGAACGAGGGCATGGGCATAAACGATCGCGAACTAGTCTGCACCATAGTGGATTCTAGAGGTGTCGTCTGGGTTGCGGGAGGGGGGCAGCGCGCGCGTCGAGGCCAACGAGGAGCTGGAGGTAAGATGGAGGGTAATTTGGAGCAGGTCGCAAGGGACTGCCCAAGAGCGTTGGAAGGGAAAGAAGAATTAGATGTAGAGAAGGGCCTTTTCAAAGCCGGACTGTCAGCGACATGTGTTGTGGGTAGGGTGGACATGACAAGCGCATGTGTTTCGAAACGTGAAGTATGCAATGGGGGAGAGGGAGAGGGAGGTGTAGGTTGAAGACGGTGTGTCCGAGTTTGAGACAGACTTGTGTGCGGACGAGAGGGTAGGTGTAGTCGAGCAAGCCGCAGGCAGTAGTCGCCAGGTGACGGTTGTCCGTACATACACAATGCCAGGCTCAGACACACGCATAGTGGTCAATACAGGCGAAGAGAGGGCGAGGCAGGGGGGTGGGTGCGAGGGCGCAGGGTGCAGGGGTGACGGAGACAAGAGAAGACGCAGCTTACCTAGTAGCCAGCGGCGACGGCAGTGGTGGCAGTAGAGGCAGTGTTGGTGGTGGTGAATGGGAGCGAGAATACCAGATCCTCGACTAAGCGCCTGAGGGAAGGAGTGACTGGGCCGGCGATGCGCCTATGCCTGGGAGAAAGCGGCGCAGAGAGGCAGAAAAAGTCGACTGATGGCGCCGGTGCGGGTCGTCGAGGCGGGTGTGGGTGGTGTTTGCGAGAGAGAGCCACGAATTGTACACTGCGACACACACACACACACTCACACGCACAGAGGACGAGCGACGGGCTCAGATGCGGAGACTTGTGCAGGGTGTGGTGACCAGCTTGGGAGGGGACGATGGAAGCCGGTCGTGGCAGAGCCGCTGCCGCCTGGTGTTTGGGGGGGAGAGGGAGATCGTGGGGAGGCGGGCAGGCGAGCAGGCGAGCAGGCGATGGTCGAGTGTTGAGGCGGCGTGAATGCGTCGCTCATTGTCCATGGGGGAGAGAGGAGCCAGGGCAGGGACGCTAGGCGTGGCTGCTGTGTGCAAGCGCCGACGTCCAAAATAGCAACCGCCAGCCGTGCGCTACGAGGCAGCTGCGACCACTAGCACGCCATAGCCTGCCCGCCTCCCACGCAGCCAGCGCCGCCTTACTGGGCCATGACTGGGCCATGACTGGGCCATGACTGGGCCATAACTGCGGACGAGCTGTCCTGTCCACCGCGCCCGCCGAGCAGTTTGGGCGGTGCGAACTTGTTCACGCCCACTCCCACCGGTACCGGCACTGGCACTGGCCTCTGCCCTCTGCCCTCTGTCCTCGCTCTGCCCTCTGCCCTCTGTCCTCGCTCTGCCCTTTCGCCATCAGCCACCGGCCCTGAGCCACCAGCCGACTCCCATTGGCTGCCGCCCGCCTGCACC